CAAAAAGTAGACAAATTTCCTTACCTCGCAAAATTTTCTAGCTTTCTAACTATGTGACAAGAGCTGTTACAAATTCATCCAACTAGTTGTTAACTTTCTCACGGGAACGAATTTCATACTGTAAGTAAAATTGACGACATTCTGTTCAGAATACATCATTTGACAGATGAAAACCTTGACTTTCTATTGGTTATAGGTAATATATAATGAAACATAAGAGAGAACTATCAATGAATTGTGAAAGAGAGGATGTGACAGGTGGGTGTAGCAGGAGGTTCTCATTTTCTATTTGATAGCTCTGTAACCAAACAAAATTGAAGGCTATAAATATTATGTTTTTTTTTAGCAATAACGATTTTATAGACAGTATTATATGTTTAATTTGTACTTTTTCGAGGGTTGGTGGATAAATTAGGGATGATGACATGCTAAGAGAAAATGTGTCATGTGGGTCACACTAGTGGAAATTCAGGATTTTTTAAAATATTGCCTTGTAGAATTAAGAACTTAAAACTTGTATACTATTAAAATATGGATTATTAGCTATGATTTTATGCTATTCTATTTGGTATAACATAAAGAAAAATAGTTTAATAAAATTTTTTATGTAAGATACTTGTGTCATGTGCAGTAAAGAGTAGCCAGGGTGATGGGGTTAAAAGTTAAACATCAGCATTCAACCATTCTCAAGAAAGTGTAATTTGGACAGCATATAGCTTAAGTGCTACATTTTAGAGTTTTAAAAGTGAATGCACACAACACTATACTACAAGAATGCATTTCACCCAAGCACTAGTGTCCATGCAATACACATAACTTCCATGGCACAATTAGCAAGTAGAGCTATGTTCCATCCACATAAATTCTACCATCATTGTCTGGTTACCTAAAAACATAATATAATACTAAGAGGCAATAATGGACTTCTTGAACTATCTAAGCCATCCTATCCATAAATTAAACACTAAAAAATCAGATCTTATTATCCCTTAAATTAACCACATCTGAAGGCAGTCCATTCCAACAGCAAACCACCCTTTTAGAAAAATAAAGCTGTCTTAGCTGAAGATTACTCTTACCCTGCCAATATTTATGTCCCCTAGTTTTATTAATTCTCACCATTAAATATGAAAGATATGTCATCAATGCTATTAATTCCCTGAAAAATCTTAAACACTTCAATTGGATCCCTTCTAACTCTTATTTTCAAGGGAATGAAGTTCAGACATTTTAAACTATTCTTGTTTAAAAATCTTACCATTACAGATATTTTTCTTGTAGCTCCAGCAGCAGCCATACTTAGTTGCAGGCTCTTGTGTAGGATAAATTTTGGACTCTATTCGGCCCCTTCTCGACACAAATGTAGGATAACTGGTAGAACAATAATTGCTAGTTGCTGACATCACACAAACTTTGCTTTTCTCAGTTTGCCACTGTTCATTAGCATACTTGTTAAAATTATTTGGATTAGGGCTTGGTGGGCCCCTGTGCACTGCACAGCCTATATGGCCACCACCGAGTAGCTCTCCTCTGAACCCTTTCCAACAATTCAATGCACTTTCTAAGTTAAGGAGCCAAAACAGCACACAGTACTCCAAATGGAACATAACCAACGATTTTTATAATGACATTATAATATGTTTAGACTTGTATTCAATATTTCTGTAGATACAACCTAAAATTTTATTTGCTCTGTCACTAGCAAAATCATATTGCTTAGGTGGCTTAAGAGACTGGTCAACCAAAACATAAAGAATTTTTTTTTCTTTCATAACAATGTTAAGATTATTTCCATCAAAATTATACATGTAATTCAAATTGTGATATCCCACATCCATTACTTTGCATTTATTATAATTAAAAGCCACTTGCCATTTAATTGAAATTCTTTTGTAAAACAGTAGCTTATAATAATAATAATTATAATTATTATTATTTAAAATAATTATAATAATTAATATTCATCTACCATTAATTTGTCTAAGTCACAAAATAATACAAATTCTTTTGTAAAGCAGTAGCATTTATCTCGCAGCCAGCAACAGCCAAGACCTAATATTATCAGCAAGTTTAAATAATCTATTGACCATTCCTTCATCTATGTCATTAATGTAAATCAAAAAAAGCAAAAGTCCAAACATTAAGCCCTGAGGTACACCATTCATAACATTAATCTAGTTTGACTGTGAACTCCATTTATAACAATCCTCTGCTTTTTTTCCATCAAGCCAGTTTTCTATCCAATGAGCTAACCTATCCCTACACCTACAGGTAACTTCTTTAACAAGCCTTTTATGTGGCACTTTGTTGAATGCTTTCTGAAACTCCAGATCCAGGCCTGTATCCTCATCTAAATGAGCAGTAACCTCTTGAAAGAATGGCAAAAGATTTGAAAGGCAAAATTTTCCTCTAGTGAAACCATTTTGAATTTCAAAAAAATTTTAAACTTCATTGAATGACTTTGCAAAGTATCTTTTATCAGACTTTCAAAAACTTTTCTTACTACTGATGGCCTATAATTATTGGGACAATTTTCATCACCTCCTTTGAAAAGAGGAGTAACATTAGCCAACTTACAACTTTCTGGTTACCTGCCCACTGTTCATAGACTTATAAAAAAAAAAATAGTAGCAAATGGCTCACATATTCAATCCTTAACCTGTTTCAAAACCACTGGGTAAATACTATGTAGTCCAAGAGATTTATCATTTATTAAACTTTGAAAATTTTTCTTAACAAGCTCAGAATCAATATCATCTTGTTCATTCTTGTTTCCATCTAACGACTGTTCTGGATGAGGAACATTGCTTAAATCTTCGTTAGTAAAATTTGAAGAAAACATATAATTTCATAACTCAGCCATTCCATATTAGCCTTCATGTATCATTCCTCAAAGGCCCTACTTTTATCCAAAAATTTTGCCTACCTAAGTCTTAATTTGTACATTTTCAGCCAACCTTTTTTTCACATACTTTTTTGATTTCCTAATTTCCCATTTGACCAACTTTTTAAATCTTCTATAATTTTCCAAGTCTCCTATCATTGCAGTCAATTTAAACTTAGTTATAATGCTTTTCTTTGACTTCCCTTTGTGAGCTAACCTGGTTTTTTTCTGTACTTGCAGCTATCTTTTTTTTTTCTTGAAGGAACATGCATATCTTGAATATTTAATTATTTATTTAAGAAATGTTTCCTCTTGTGATCAGTATCTCCAACTAATATAGGTGCCAAATTCACAGAAGATAGTTCTCATCTCTTCAGAATTTGCTTTTTTGAAATTTGGAACCAAATTCTCATTATTCCTCATCAACATGTGCAGCAAAACATCAAATCTAATTGAGCAAGGAACACTTGCATCCAGATGTTCTCCAATCTACACCCTATCAGTCATTTCTTTATTAGAAGTTAACAATTAATCTACAGTAGCATTGTTCATAGTAGGTTCCCTAACCAATTGTTGAATAAAAACATCCTGAACAATTTTTAATAAAAAACTTTAACCCTTATGATTTGACACTAAAATTTGGAATATATAAAATTTCAGATGAGTAAAGGAGAAGTAATTAAAGCTATTTGTACAGCTAGGGTTTCTTCAGCTGCACAGTGTTCAAGAGCAAATGTATGGCTGTCAGAACATCTGAGATCATTAGTTAATGATCTATAAACAGTTTGGATTTACACAGTGAAAGGAATTCGGTGAGTTGCTGGTTGCTTCATTGGGATCAGATGGTTATTTGAGTTGATGAAAAATAACATGTCATTATAGGTGACATAAATTGTAGGTGGGCTGAAGATTGTGACCAAGCATTTCAGTCACACCAGTTCTGGTGATACCTTAACTAGCAACCTAGGCTGAAATTAATGCTGCATTCCTACTCACACTTGAGCTTTTGGCACCCTAGAAAACTGTTTATGTTGCCTATCTTTTATGGTAGCTGTATTATTCACTGTAGTGTGCTTTAGTTATTTGCTGGATTATTTGTTAGTTATATTTAGTTTTTAAATTTGAATCTAGTTTATTAAGAACTTATTTCATGAACATTTTGAAATAATGAACAATATTCATCAAGTTACCAATCACATATGTAAAAACAACAACAAATGTTAAGAATTTCAATTTTTATTATTATATTTCCATGTGAAAATATGAATGGAAATGTTTCAGTTGAGTAATTTGTAACTGAAACTTTCAAGGTTTAAAGTCTAGGATTTATAGTGTATGTCTGCTGGAAATCTTATAGAATACTCAGATCTGCTCTGGTCAAAACTCAACAAAAAAACAACTGATGACAAACAAAAATGTCATTTATGTAACACCATGTTCCTGTAAATAAACTTAATTGAAGAAACTGGAAGACATTTTATGGCAAGAATAAAGACTTATGAAAACACAAAATTATGGTCTGGAAGAACATTGCATGTTCACTGGACATAAAATAGGCTGTAACATATTGACTGAGATGAATTCTGGAAAATAAGAAAAATTAAATAATCTTTAAATAGAAACTCGGACTTTGAAATCAGCAGTTTGTCACTACCATTGGTCAAATTATCACTTGTGAGTCACATCACATTCTCTTCAATCCTCCCAGATACTTTATAAATCTTTGCAAAAGCCAATGCAAGCTGACCTGAAGACCAAAGATGAAGGTTTCTGAAATATTGTACATTTCACCTGAGCTACTTTTGTAGGTTAGTCCTCCAGAGCTTTCTGTATAATTGCCACTCTGAACATGGCAGTGGTTGCTGATTTCACTTTTGTTTGTTTATCATGAATAACCTGCTTGAATCATCTATAAAAAGTCAGGATATTTAATATATCTCTACTAAAATTATAAAAAAAACTCATGTTGATTGATTTCTGTTTCTTACCAGAAAATTATATTTCTTTCCCAGACAAAATAGAATCATTATTTCAAAACTATGTTCATGTAATATTATTATTGTGTTTAAAACTTTATTCTCTATGCTAATGTATTTTTTGTCTGCTCATCTTTTAGAAAATGATGAAACTAATAAGTTAAATAAGAACACAGAGGAAGAAGGAGACATCAGTGATCACTCCAAAATTTATATAACTCCGATGGATGATGACGACAGTCAAGTGACACCTAAGAAAAACAAATCTCACAAATTGCTGAGACTAAAATCTACTGACAGTGAAGGAGATACAGATCATGAGGATAAATATTCAAAAGATAAATCAAAAAAGTAACATTCATTTTCATTTATAATTACATTTCAAATTTTCTGCTTCATTTGTTGATAGAAATAGCAAAATTATTAAAGACCATATTACAGACTTGAATATTGAGCTCAAATATGTTAAGTTTTACTATGCAGATTACTAGTTGTATGATATCTGGTAATGCATGATTTGTTATTCTTTTCTTTGAAGGGTCCAGTTGTTATCTGTTGAATAGGGCCTATTCAATTGGTGTGTGTTTTTTAATTTTATAAATGTGTTTGCTTCTGTCCAATTTGGTATTGCTTGCAGAACAATTACTACATTTTGGGTGAATTAATATCAGGAATTGAAGTTAAATTCTAAAAACAAAGCAATTTTGTTGCTAGACAACATTAATCTTTACCTCAATAATTAGCCATTTGATATGTTTATAATAAAAATGATTAGAATGATGCTGTTGCTTATACTTGGAACTCATTATATCATGTCAGTAACTATGCTGACAAGTGAGTGGAACTAGTATAACTGAATATATAGAAAAATAATCATTGATGTTTATATATTCAAATTAGAGTTCAGATGAATCTCCGTTTTGTGATTGGGAAGCTTCTCTCATAGGAGAAAAGATATCATATAGAGAGAAAGGAAAATTTATATTGTAATACACATGCAAGAAAAATTATTGAAGGTGTAGAATTATGTACAATAAGCGTTTTGGTATTACAGATATATTAAATATTCCAATATGGTACTTCCCTCTCCTCACAAGATTAGCTGTTCTCGTTCATTGCTGCCCTCTATATGCAAACTTTTTTTATTATCCATGCCACAAGCCTTCTGCATCCCACTATTGTAATCAAATGATTCCAACGTGTCTCTCATGCAAATCATCATGCATCATTCTCCACTAATAGGAGAATAGTACACTCATGTGACGCATGAGACTCCCTCTATGTTTCTATACTGAACTATCACTTCTCGTTTGGCAGTGGTTGCACTTGGACACCTTTTATTTTTCATCTTGATTAGTGTTTGTGATTGAATTAGTTCTCGAAGCGGTTTAATTCCACATATTCAGTTTTTTTTAAAGCATTCAGGTTCAGTTACCCTTGTTCTAGTCATGTTTATTTCTTACTTTAAAGGGTTTTGTCCACTGATACAACATGAATTCCAAAGTTAATGTCACCAATTTGGGTGTCTCTCATTCAACAGGTGCTTTACCACAAGCTTCAGGTGCTGGGAGATTTGTCTACGGTTATTCGCAAGGAGCTTGAACATTATCTCCATTCATTGCCCCACTTCCTCCTGAACCTGTGGAACCTGGACAGGCTGATGAGGACTTTGATCGTCTGTTTCCACTTCCTAAATTTGCAGTGCTTTCCCATACCCTTCCTGAGGATTCTGTTCAGCCTTGCACATTTTTTTTCGGACTTTATTTCTCAGGTATATTATGTTTTATCCCTTGCTCCCATCTTTAATTACCTGTGTCCTTCATTACTGCTTGAATATACTTCCCACCCATATTTGGTTTTTCCCCTGTCCCCCGACATTCAGGTTCATGCTGAACAATTCACCTCTCAGTTGGGCAATGGTGGTATGCCTCTTCCCCCACAGGCTTCGGATCAGTCTGCCCTCGCATATCATAGGGCTGACTATCCATATCTCGACCAACAATTATTGGGTTCGGTTTTACCCATTTGAGAAGCAGGCCTTGAATCTCCCGTTAGTAGCACCCATGTCCAATTTTCCCACCTCTGTCTTACCCTCATGACTCTTTTGTGGTACCTTTCCACAATCCATCTCCTGTCTGTGGCACTTCACATAAATTCTGAGGAATTTTTTGGGTATATCCTCTCCCTCCTTACCTCCACATTGGCTCGTTTGTCATCTTCGGCTGTGGCTTTACAAACATGGTTTATCTGTTGCTGGGACCTTTTAGGTCATGATGTTGTTTTATCAAAAATCCATATACCTGCTTCTTATCTCCGGGATTTGCGTATGGTTCCGTTTTTAATATGTTTTATCTTTGATGCAGTCCTGGAGTCTTGGGTGGCACCTGTACAGCAACAATCTACACTTTCCAATCTGGTTGCCCATCTATCTCAGTCAGAGCCAAGTGTGGTACCAATTCTAGTTTCCCACCCTTCCTCTTCCCAGCCCTTACCTGTCCATCCTTCTCATGGTGCCACAGCTCATCATTTTGCTCAATGACACATGATATGCCACCACCAGTTCTGGTGACTACCTGGTGGGTTCGGTCACAGTGGGAGCTCGACTTGCAGTCTTTGTTCATTGGTAGCATCCTTGCATCATCGATGGTTGGGTTTTTTGAGTTTTGTCAGAGGCCCTCGAAATACCATTTCTTGCCCCACCTTCCTTGTCCCAGGTACCTGTTTTCTTCCTTCCTCCTCGGGATCCCATAACTTGCCAGCGTCTATCAGAGGCAGTATAGGACCTCCTCACCCACCAGGCTGTTGAAACTGTTCTACATCATTCAGTAGGGTGTTACTTTGGTCTTTTTGTTAATCCCCAAAAATCTGGGGACTTGAGACCTGTTATTGATTTGTTCACCACCCACATTTCACCATGGAGTCCAACCTCACTCTTTGGTGGGCATTTTCTCCTAGTCTCTAGATGACCAAGATGGATGTTTCTAAAACTTATCTGTATATTCCCATCTCAGAATTATCTCGTACTTATCTTTGGTTTGTCTATTGAAGGGTGGTGTACCAATTTTGTGCCCTACCCTTCGGCTGTCGTTTGCTCCTTATGATTTCTTGCAGGTGGTGAGAGTTTTTTTTTGCTCTTCATCTTCATGCCCTGGAGCTGTGTTTCCATTTTTACATGGATGACTGGCTACTTCTGGCTCATTCCAAACAGGAGTCAGCCAGTCATACTCGTCAGCTCCTTCTCGACGCTGCTCACATAGTCTGGTTGATAAAATTGGAGAAGTCCTTCCTGCATCTTACCCAATATTCTGTGCATTTTGATGTCTTTTTCAACAGTCACCTCAGTCAGGCCGAACCTTCTTCTCTCCAACTCTGTTCTACAGAATTGGCAGTTCACCATGCCTTATCTGCTCCCTCACTTTCAGCATGCAAGATTTTGTCACTTTTGGGTGATGTGGTCTTCTGTGGCAGCACTAATCCCCCTCGGCTGTGCATGAATATGCTCCCTTCGGTGGGCTCTATCCTCAATGGAACCTTGCTCGGGATCCCTTGGATGCTCCCATAACACTTCCTCCTTCCCATGTAGACAATCTCCTTTCGCAGTTAGACAAGTCTCACACATCAGTGGGTTTCCCATTTCCTCCTCCTTATCCAGATTTACATCTGTTTATGGATGCATCCCTTCAGAGCTGGGGTGCATAGGTCAATCACCAGGAGACTTCGGGTCATTTGTCTGTTGATTAACGGTCTTTACATATCAACGTCCTAGAACTCCTAGCCATTTTTCAGGCTTTGGATCACTTTCTTCCCATTGCCAAACATTGTCTGGTAATGATCCATTCCGACAATTCAATGGTGGTGGCTTATACCAATCACCAAGGCAGCACCTAGTTGAGATCCATCTGTTTTTCATACGATCGATCTCCTATATTGGGCCCACGTGCAACAAATTTCTTTAATTGCATGTCATATTCCAGGTGCTTTCAACCACTTGGCAGATCGTTTTTCCTGCCCCAACAAGATTTACCCAAGGGAGTGGTCCCTTCATTTTCTCATTTTCCTGTGGCTTTGCAGTCTGTGGGGTTTTCTTCACATTGATGCATTTGCCACCACCCTAAATCACTAGTTACCACTCTTTTGGTCCCCGGTACCTCATCTCCAGGTTTTGGCTGTAGATGCCTTCAGCCAGGATTGGTCACACAAATTCCTGTATGTTTATCCTCCTATCCGATTGCTTCATTGGGTAGTTTCCCTTATCCATGCCACTCCAAGTTGTGTCCTTCTTATTGCTCCCTACTGGCTGACTCAACTATGGTTTCCTTGTTTACTCCAACTATAATTATTCTTTCCTGTACCACTTCCATTATTACCCAACCTCCTTCATGAACCCCAGTGACCATTCTGCATCCCACACTTCACGTCCACGTCTTTGTGCCTGGCTGTTGTCCTTGATGAGGAGTTCTGGTTTCTCCCATCATATAACTTTTCATTTGGCTCAATCTATTTTTCCTTCCTTTATAGAAGTGTATCAGCAGCAAAAGTGGGCCCAGACTCGAGGATTATCTACTGCTCGTCCTACTGTTGCTGGTGTCTCCAAGTTTCTCATGTGGCTTTTCGACCAGGGGTCTTCAATCTCCTTGATTTCAGGTTATCGATCAGCTTTATCCCATACCTTGTGTTTTTCCCATTACTGCAAGGTATTTTCTCACCTGTCCTTACCATGTTAATCCATTCCTTCCAGATTCGTTGAACTCCTCAGTGACCTGCTCTTCCAGATTGGGACATTAATGTGGTCCTCCATTCCCTTACCTTACCATTTGGGCCTACTTCTATGTGTTCTTTGTTTCACCTATCTCTTAAGGCATATTTTCTTCTCCTTTGGGCATCAACTTATTTTCTCCTTTATCCTGATCATTCTTTCTTCCCCAAAACCTTGGTGGCATGTGAAGGCATCTCTTCCTTTTTGCCTATTTACTTTCATTTTATTTCTCATTTCTATTCACATCCTGATCAGGATAGAGTTCTGTGTCCTGTGCATTCCCTTTATAGTTACATTGCCCGTACAGCTTCCCTTACATAGTTCCCGTTCCCATCTCTTTATCAAGTGGCAACCCTCTTTGTTCAGAGATCTCTCCCCTTTTACCCTCACCATTTGGGTTCATTGATTGATCCAGTTGGCTTTTTCCTCTTTGCTCCCTTCTCACTGTATTTTTTTCTGTGTTAACTCTCATCAAATCTGACACCTCACCTTTTCCCCTTCTTCTCGTCTTCGTTGGCCTTTGTTGGAAATCTTACATTCATCTCCCATTATTTACATCCTATTATGGTTTCATCTTCCTTGGGTTTTTGCCTTCCACCTGTGGCTGTACTTCAGACTTTGGTGCAACTCTGACACTTGGTAAGGCTTTATTAATATTTTCTTTTCTTTCAGGGGCCCATTCTTCATACCTTCATTTCATAGATCCCACTCTGTGGTAAGTGGTGCCTGACCAGGTATTCTTTAACTGTAAATCCACACTGTACACCATGTTGCTTTCTTTTCTATGGCTTTGCATTCTCACCTTTGAGATTGGGTGTTTCACAAGATCAGTTGTAGGTGAATAACCTCGTGATATTTGCTTCATATATTGACCAGTCCCAGACTGTACCACCCATGGACTTCATGGGTAAAGCAGAAGAGAATAGCTGCCCATCCCTGACATGCCTCAATTGAATAAATTGGTATGGTCTGGTTTTCAACATAGGGTTTTGTGATCACCCATTGCACTGTCTCAGGTGTCTACCTACCTCTGGGCTCTCCAACACATTCTCAGCCCCTTTTTTTTTCAAGTGGAGAATGGGAGTTCTTACCAGTTCCAAGCCGTTGGGTGGTCGACCATGGAGGTACCCTGCTGGATTGGTTCCACATAAGATGGCTATAGCCATTCAGTTCAGAGTAGGGCAGTGGTGTTCTGTCAATGTAGATGACAAAATATCCTCTAATTTGTGATTAACCATACAATGGAGTGAAACACCAAAATGCAGTTCACCCCTTTGATTGAGAGCCCTCATCCTACCCTCATGTAGATGTCGGTACCCTGTGAGCTGGTTTTGATTTCAAGTGAACCAATCAACATAAGTCCTCACACAAATCTAGGGTTGTCTATCTTCCTCTCTTTATTTCCTCCTTCTGTGTTTTGGGTCACAGCAGGGATAAGTGGAGTTATTCTGTGTTTTATTCTTGTCTTTCATTCTGTTTTATTACAGGTATGTTATTGCCCTTTGGATGGTCCCAACCTGTTTCATGGTCATGAAAGTTGATTGCATGCGATACACTTCCTTTTGATACTGGATGTCAAGTTCCCAGATTGACAACTCAGAGCTAATCCTTGTGTCATACCCTGGAATCTGAGTGGTACTCAATTCCCTGGTTCTTGGGTTTGATGTCAGTACTGTATGATCCTCATCCTACCCTCGCACGGATGTTGGTACCTTGCGTGGAGGTTTTGAATGTAGTTGACTTACTGAGTACGGTCTGCTGCTCCCTAGCCACTCTACACCATGAGATGCATCCTCTTAGTATGAATTCTGGACTCAATGTATCGACTATGGAAATTCCCATTACAGTCGAAAACGCCACAGGTACAACTTTTCAGGAATTTGGTTTGACTTTATTTGCAGAGAAGGTACTCGCCTTAAATCGTAGGGAGCTAGATTCATATGTTTGGCCAGTGATTTCTTCTTCTTTTCAACTTGACAATGTTTCTGAGGAAGAATATAATCAATGAGAAGACTATTCAGATTCTCTTTTTCTGGCACCTTCTTATTTTGGTTTGTTACACTCTTCACCTCTTCGGGAGTTTTCCCCTTCCATTTCTTTTTTGCAGCTAGTTAATCAGGTTGTTGGTTGATATATATTCTGGTTTTGCTGTATATTTAAGACATGCGTGATTTCACTAGTTTTCTTTTTATTGCTCCAATGGCCATCCTGGCACGTCACTCACTTTGGTGGAGATTTGTTCTTCTCCTTCTTTCTTCATATTGCTTTCAGTAATTCTGTGGTAAGTTTTCAACTTGTACACTTTACACATGATGGATATATCTCTGGTAGGCATGCCTCAGATGCCCTTTCTGTGGCTTTGTCTATTGTTACACACAGTATTTCACGTTATCAGTGCTTGGATTTTGGGAAGTTAGATATTTATGTGTTCTTTGACATCTAAATTAATTTAGATCAATTGTAAATTATAAATTGTTTATTACCTTGTAGACTCAGTAAATTTCGAGAGTTTGTATTTTGGTATTAATAAGTACTTTAATTAGGTATGTTTAGATAGTTTGCAAGTTAAATATCATTACTAATAGTCACACTTTCTGTCCACCGTTAGGGTTTCTACTTTTTATCCTCAGGCATCTCTGTTTCCTTATCCCCTTCAGCCTTCATCTTGTTTCTTTTCTGCTTCTGCTCCCATCTATGTCCTCTGCTTTTTCAAGGCTGTGTTCATTACCACTTCTAGCAACTCTTCACTCTCATTCAAAATTTTATTCACCATGGTGGTGTGTTCAGCTCATTCTTGACTGGGATCAGCCTATTCCCATCTGCCTGTGATCAGTGGACCTTGCTGTCACTAGGATTCACACCTATCTTAATTATTTTACATATGAAATTTCTTGTTTGGTGACCATGGCTTCATGGGAATTGTCTATCCCTTTAGGTCACACTCATATGCACCTCCTTGGTTGTTCTTGCATGATCAGAGGGAAGCCTCACAGGATTCTTTAACCTCAGTGGTTCTCCTATCCCTTCCTTAATCATAATCTGTGGGATGGTTGGAGCTACAAACTGGAGCTACACCTCTTCACATATGCTTCCTCCTTTGGTTGGGAAACATCCGTGACTATCTATCTTTCATTCAGCTATGGTCACAGGATAAGTCTTCTCTCAGTATTCATGCACTCAACCTGCTTGAGATGGTTGAGCATGACCCTATTCATACCCCTCTTAGTGGTTCATTTCATTAGGTTCCATTCCAACTATTCCTTGGATTCTCATGAGTTAGCCACCATTTGGTGATCTAATCCAGAACTCCTTGCTTTCAAACTCTGGACCTTCTTCCTTGGGCCTATTCTCGTGGGATTGGTTTCCCTGCCTGCCATGTACTGGGTACTATGAACTGGGTTACAGACTGTCTCCTCTTTTCCAAAGTGAGTTGGGGTGAAGTTGGAAAGCATGGGTTCTGTAACTATTCCCTTAACATTGGTCCAGTGCTCTGGGGTACTTGTACCATTCTGGAGAAACCATTCCAGCTTCACTGGCCCCCAGTTTAATCCAAAATTAGAGAAACTGACAAAACTGATATTAACAATATATATTACCACTGAATTATAAACATAAAACAACCTACTTATCAACCTACTTCAGTGAAGTTGTTTAAAAAAAAAAAAGGGAAACAATAGTAATCAAAAACATTTCACAAAAATTAAGAAAAATATAAGGATGGCAATGCCGAAAAGTACATAAATAAGGTAGGAATAAATACAGAAAATCATACAAAAAATCCATGCAAATGTAACCAGTAAGTACTGACTCAATCTTACAAGCTTATTGTTACTAGTAACTCAAGAGCCATACACAGAGGAATAGCAGAGCATCACGACAAGTTTGTTGCCAGTAACTTATTACTTTCTATGAATCTGTATAGTTTGACCTGTGGGAAGAAACATAACTGTATGATACTCTCTTTAGACTCGGGTCTAATTACAAACAGGTGATGTACATGTTTAATTTTATTTCAATGTACATTTATTTCAGAAACTGTTGGTTTTTATTGATAAATATTTGCTGTTCATACAGCGACATCTGGTTCACAGGTGGTACTAGAGGATCAGAAAAAAGCAGAAATGTGGAACTTTCTCATGCCTGTATATATCCAATAAAAAAAATTTAAATCTATAAGATACAATGAAGTATTTATTTTATTATGCCTTGTGAAAGTAAGATGAAGATTATATATGGAATTGAACAAAAACTAAGCATATATCAAATATAAATTTGAAATTATAACATTTTTTTTTCTTTCGCTATAAGAAACTAAAACTGGGATTTGAAATACCATGTTATGCTCAGGAGCTGTTAACTTGTTTATGTGACACTGTCATTGGTTTACTTTCTCATTTTAACCTAGTGGTGGCAGCAGCTTACAGTAGATTACAGAAAACTGATTCAGTGCCATTTGCTTGCCTTAGTTACTGAATGATGAAATGTAGGCATGGTGATTACTTTGTAAACAATAATACAACCCCAATATACTTTATTGAGCATTATAAATTTAGAACTGGAGTATGTTTTACAACAATAAAAAATATGAACACGATCAGAACAAAATAAAGTAGAACAGCTAATCAGAACTCAAAAGTATTACAAAAATGTTGACTTGCTGATTTGTATATTAGAAATTGTTTTAATATAATGTACTCAACCCTCTATATTGTACCTATAATGCATACTAAGTGAGACTTGCATGTATGAAAACTGAGAAAAATATTAATAATTATTTCATAATACTAAAGGAATCTATAGTGTGTTTGTATTTCCCTTTTTTTTTGGTAACTGAAAAAATTACAATGTTTTACAGAAAATGTGTTCGAGCAAAGAGAAAAATATTATCTTCAGATGATGAAACTTCAAGTTCAGAGAGTAAAGAAGAATCAGATAGCTCATGTAGCTCACTTGTTTTTTCTGATGACAAGAATACAAGGAAAAAAAAGAAAATATCAAGTGATGATGATAAAGAAGCTAAAAGCAGTAAAAAGCCAAAGAAGAGGAGGAGGATTAAATTGTTGAACACATCAGAGAGCAGTTCTGATGTTGATAATTCAAAAGTTGTCTCTACTGTGAGTAATGATGGAAATGATAGTGTGTTAAATTATTTTGTAAGTTTTTCCTAAAAGATCTAAAATAGTTATGCACTAAATAATCAAAAACTCAACTTTAGTTTTTCCAAAACATTATTCCATTACACTAAACAGGACCTCTTTAACAGGTTACATTTTGTAAGTAAAAGAAAGATAGTTATAATCACGTGAATATCTATTTTATTCATTCAGTGTCACAGTCTTACAGTAGTTTAAATGATGTATGAAATTGTGTCTCACTGTAGAAGATGGAAAATTGTACAGAAGTAAATCTAGTATCCCACAAATAGCTTTTTCAAAGCTTCATACTATATTAGTAGTTATTTATGCTCTAAGGAATTCGGGGCAGCCATATTACATTCATCAGAAGGATGTCAAAATGAAAGCAATTGAGTCAAGAACCAAGAATATATATATATATATATATTCAAAAATGAATGGGGAAAGAATTCTATATTGGGATGCCAACCTAAAAAAAAATCAAGAAAGAAAGAAAACAATTGCAGGTAAGTTTACTACTTAAACAATATCTATAAAGTAAAGGAATACAACAATTACATACAGAACTCTGTCATATCCTTCCTGTTTCTGCCCAGACTTAGGTGGTTTTTTTTTTAAGTTTAGCTAACATTCCTATTTTGCATAAGTTAAAGGTTGGCATCTCTGTATAGATTAATTTTATAACAATATGTTAAATACACTATTTTTGGTACTAAAGGGTTAAAGAAAGGAGTGCTGTTTTGGAGAGAAAGTTTTTACACTGTGGGGCAGAGTGACTTCGCACTTTGGACTCGTAGTCAGATGATTCGGAGGTCGAGACTAGCCTATGTCATGCTGTTGTGTTCTTTTACAAGACACCTTACCCCTCTGTTTCGAGTCTACCAAGCTGTATGATGGATACTTAGCTGTTAGCTAACCTGTAATGAACTGAAATCCTGTTCAGATGGATTGGGTCACCATTCTCATCTGCTTGTACTATTGGAACTGTGTAAAGGCTTGGCAAGGACTTAACTTTAACTCTGCATCAACATTTCACTTAAAAAGCAAGAAAATGTTTGAGCCATCAGAAGGAATTAATTTGATAGGAAATGATTATAAGATAGTTTTTATCATAAACTACAGAAAAATAATGTAAGAGGAGAAATCAGAAGAACTGTCTTTTAACCTGTGTATTTAAACATTGTTTGTTAACACTGAAGGGTTTTGTTTAGGGATGCACAGGTAGTAAAATTTGGCTGGATACTGGGTCCGGGTACCCGGTCACTAAACATCGGGTGGGCCAAATGTCAACTGAAACCAGGTTCTCCCCTTGCCCCCCCCCCCCACAAAAAAAATACACAGAAATTAGAAACAGAAACAAAATTGGCATTTATTACATTTAACCGAATAATCACCAACAGAACATTCAAGTTTTACTTTCAATGCCTAGCCCAAACTTCTCAAACCCTAACCCCTATTGTTCTCAAAACCCCTACTTTCCCCAGAAATCCACTTCTGAAGCCATGCCTATAATTAACCTCTATTGTTCTCTGAATCCCTGAATTTTAGAACAAGTTTTTTATTAACTAAAACAGTTATTAACTGTAACTTTCAGTACCGCATAAATTGCCACAAAGATTAACGCTTGGATGCCATTTTCAATTACCGGATTAGGCCATTTTTAACTTCGACACTTGGTCGGAGCCAAGTGTTACTGGGAAGTCCAATACCTGGCCAGGGCCGAATATCCTGTCAGGTACCCGTGCATCCCTAGTTTTGTTTATAGTAGCAACCTTATTAATAGATGTATTACTTTAATGATAAGTAGTTACTTAGTTTACGGAGGTCTTTAATTCTGTAGAGTAAGCAGTCTTTCCAGGACACTCCTTCGGGTAAAGGCAGACGTAACATCCGCAAGCTTATCATAGATCATAAGCTACAAGACCAAACCAGAGTAGCTGCTCAAGAAGAAATGGAAAGAAGGAAACGAGTTCTAGAACGACAGAAACTAGCAAGTACATTTTTGTTACTCTTTGTTCGACTAGTTACACACTTGTTGGCTAGTTATCCACTTGCATTGAAATCCTCTATAGCTTGTGTAATAAATAAATGTGCATAACATATAAAAATCAGTCACACTTTTTTGTCCCCCCCTCTTGAGGGAAATTATTGAAGTTTAATATATATGTAGCTCTTGATTCTTATATATATTTAAAGGATATGATGATCAAATTCATTATTGTCAAGAAAATCTTTTCTTTTTTTTTCTTCTGCTTGTCTAATGCAAAAGCTGTACATAGTTGTTGAGAAAAGTGAATCCTAAAAAAAAAAAAAATAGGAAACTAAATCTAGAGCATAAATGTTTTTGGCTAGAAAATTTTATATTTGAGGTCATTGTATAAAATCCAAATAGTAAAATTTATTCTTAGTAGACCCTAAGAGCAGAATTTTTTGTAATTTCTTGCATGCATAGGTCTGTGCACTTTTATCTTAGAACTACCATTATTTCACTTTGTGGATCATATGCAAGATGGGCCTTTCCTCCAAATAAAAAAACATATGTGAAGAAGATACACCAATGTTCTGTAGAAACATGTAGTGCATTCAGAATGTTACACCAATGTTCTGTAGAAACATGTAGTACATTCAGAATGTTACACCAATGTTCGGTAGTACGTTCAGAATATTACACCAATGTTCTGTAGAAACATGTAGTACGTTCAGAATGTTACACCAATGTTCTGGGTGTAACATTCTGAACAGTACTAATAGGTGTAACATTCTGAACGTACTACATGTTTCTACAGAACATTGGTGTAACATTCTGAATGTACTACATGTTTCTACAGAACATTGGTGTAACATTCTGAACGTACTACAGAACATTGGTGTAACATTCTGAATGTACTACAGAACATTGGTGTAACATTCTGAACATACTACAGAACATTGGTGTAACATTCTGAATGTACTACATGTTTCTACAGAACATTGGTGTAACATTCTGAACGTACTACAGAACATTGGTGTAACATTCTGAATGTACTACATGTTTCTACAGAACATTGGTGTAACATTCTGAACGTACTACAGAACATTGGTGTAACATTCTG